CCTGGGTGATAGTTAGAGGGGTCAGGGCTGAGAGGCTCTGCAGATCAGCTCACTTGGAGAAGTCTCTAGAACTTAGTGGACAGGGTTGAGAAGGAGTTGGTCCACACTCTTAAGGGATCCTGGCCAATCCCCAGGCCAGAGGCTTGGCATGGGGTCAGGACAGCCCTTAAGAGTGACTGAGTCTGCTCAGAACCAGGGAGAGTTTGGGTGGAAGATGGAGTAAGAGGAAGAGATGCAAGAGCCTGGGAGGAGGCCCACTGTCACGTACCTGATAGAAGTCTGAATTGACGAGGTCAGCCTCTCTTGTATCTCCAGCCCAGGCCCCACTAAAGGTGGAACAGATGGTGCCGAGGGACAGGAGGAACATGAGTGCCTGCAGGTATTGATTGCAGAACTTGTGGCTGGAGAGATAAACTTGGTAAATCAGGCAAGGCATCCGGTCAAGAACAGAGGAGATGCAGCAATGACCAGCTAAGGATAAAGGAGCACTCCACCAGAACTGCAAGATCTGGATACTTGGCTTGCTAACAAGTGTGAGGCTTGAACACACCGTGACAACCAAAACTGAGATGATAGATAGCCAGGGCAAGCACTCGGCAGGACTGTAGAGCTGAACTGAAGCCAGAAGCATAGTCAGAGCTATAGCCAGGGTCAGCAATGAACAGGCAATGAGGTACCGAAACATCAGACAGGAATGTAGTTAGGAGCAAGCCAGTATCATAAACTGATGAGCAGAAGCATAAACAGGATCCAAGAGCTGGTCAAATAGGAAGCCGAGTCAGCAACGGATAACACAGAGGATACAGCAGGACACAAGGAAATAGCTGAAGACCAGTCAGCACTGACAGAGAGTAAGAGCCTCCATGTAAATAGTCCGTCTTGTGCCACAAACTGTGGGCATGCTCCCGCATGTGTGCACCCATATGCGTGCATTCTTTTGCGCATGTGCAAGCCTATGCTCAGCTCAGCCTCACCAGTCCCCGAAGGGAGGACTACCTGTGGAGCCAGGAAAAGGAGCAAGCCCAGCAGAAGGCCTGAAGATATCCACCTACCTAAACCAGCTCACAGGAAAGAGACTGAGTGAGTAATCCTACAACCCCTGCGCCAGTTAAGGGGAAAATACCACTCTGGTGGAAACCTGATTAGCTCCTTACTTCATTTTAAAGGGCCAGGCACTGGATCGCCTTGCCCAGGGATTCCTCCAGACAGCTGGATAAGAAGATGATTTAAGAGGTGAGCATGAGTGGATGTCCCGGTAAACTGCTCTGCACCCTCCCAGCACATTCAGCCTGATACAGGGGGCACCTGACCTCGCCCAAGCTTTCCACGAATGCCAGTCGCTTTTGAGCAACATAGAGCCCTTCCCCGTGCCAAGACGGATGGCTGGAAATGGCTGGAGCGGCTCCCAGCACCTAACCCACGTGGCGGGCAGAGGGGGCAAGATGGCGGCCGGCTCTGGTCCCAGTGCCTGCAGTTCCTCTTTACCAGGCAAACCTCTACCACAGCGGACCAAATCCAGAATCTCCAGCACTGGTGACCATGGTGCAGACCCTATTGCTTCTACCAGAGGGGTGAGTGAGCTCCTTCAATTCCCCCACCCTTCCTCCAGCCCTGCTGCATCTCCATCGCAGGTCTCTACTCCCACACTTCCTCTGTCCTGGATACTGGATAAGGAGATGGCTGACATCTTCCTCAGCCAAACAATCAATGTGGACCCTGATCTGGATAGCCCAGGGGGATCTCCAGCACCTCCGCCTATCCCACCGCAGTATTTAGGAGATACAGTCCTTATTGCCCGCTTTGCTGATCAGCTACAGCAGGAATTAGATAAGGCTACTACTAAGCTAGCAGCTGATTTAAAACAGGACTTCCAGAAATTGGACCAACATCAGGACAGTATTGAATCTAAAGTAGACAACACTGTCCATAATGTATCCCAGAATTCTAATATGATTACTGAATTACAGGACTGGCTGGAAGAAGTTTAGAGTAAAATTGATGACCTGGAAAACCGCGCCCAATGCTACAATTTTCGCATCCAGGGGCTCCCAGAATCGGTGAAAGACCTTATTACTCTTACGCATTCACTCATGCAATCTGCTGTGCCTGAGATTGCTGATCTCCATATGGAAATTGACTGCATTCACAGGGCCCTGATTCCCCCTAAACCGAAGGGGCCTCTTAGAGATGTTATTGTCAAACCACACTTTTTCCGGATTAAGGAAGCGGTCATCAAATACGCTAGAGAAAATCCAGACCTGGGAATTGCTAGCCACAAAATTAAAATTTTTGTGGATATTTCCCAGGCTACCATCCAAAAAAGAAGATCCTTCAAACCATTACTTTCATCCTTGGTACAACGGGACATTCACTATTGTTGGGCTTATCCATTTCAGCTTCAATTTACCTATAATGGTAAACCCTACGCTTTTTTTTTTCATTCCATGAAGGGGAAAAGATCCTACTTCAGTTGGGCTTTATCTCCCACAATCAACCAAGGTCAAGCTTCCCACCTCCCCCACTTTCATCTCTCTGGTCCGCCTCACCATCGAAGAAGATTAGACCTTCTCGTCGAGCTAGCTGAGAATCATCCACTGGCGTGCTTTGGATTTTTCACGTGGTAGCTTCTCCGTGGTTCCTCTTTGGAACATTAGCTACTGTTATTTTATTTGTTATTCTGCCTGTGAATTCTTTCCCTTCCCTCTGTACATATTTTTTCTACAGGGTTCCATGAGACTATTTTGTTCCAGGCTAATTGTTCACTTGCTGTTGCCTAATTGGGCTTTTCTATAATATTGTTGAGCTCTGATTTTATTTGCGAGTTATTGGTTGCCAACTATGATTTATACGGTCTTTGGTCTTTGGGGAGACCCCTTCCTTTCCGGGGCCACAGCCCTGGACTTAGTTGAGAAACCCTGGTCTGGGGTTAACCTTTTTTTTATACCTTATTATAAACTTGGAGGGAGTGCAGGGAAACTGTGGGATACACCAGTAACACAAAGTAGCAACTTGAGGACACTTTGCTCACGTTTTCCAAGTTTCTTAGCACAGTTTTTCAGCAACAAATAATGGACTACACAGGGACAATATAAGAAATGTCCACATTTGAGCACAAGCTGGCACTGATGTAAGAAGCATAGTAGCAGCACATAGTCACAAGGATCCTACACTCAGGTCTGTATTCACAATGTCCCTGGATATTTGGATGCCTCCCTCCAATATCAGCCAGACATGCCTCCCTTAAACTCTCCAGACCAGATCCTCAGATAAATCCCTTAGTCATTTCCAGAAACGTTCAGTAGAACAGGCCCTTCAACTCTAACACAACTGGGACCTTGATAAACAAGCACAGCTTGACTGCCCAGAAGGGCAGCAGCCCTTCCGGCTGTTAACTTCTCTTCCTGAACAAGATTCTTGCTGTTCCAAGCCTCAGGCTATTTAAGCATTCCCCAGTCACCAATTGGGCACACTCCCCCAGGGACTGGCTGGGACCAGGGGCGGACTGACCATTTGAAAACTTGGGCACTGCCCGAGGGCCCTGGGTCAGTAGGGGGCCCCATGAGATGCCCCTGGTACCTTTTTCATAGGCTTTTTTGAGTTTGGGCAAGGACACAGGGGCCCCATGATCCCCTATTGCCCGGGGGCCCCATGAGTTGTCAGTCCGCCCCTGGCTGGGACCACATACAAATTCAGGCTGCTTATCTAACGCTGACTCTCTCAGCCTTCTACATTCCCGAATCCTCCAGAAGGCAGCGGGAGGCCATCAAATCTGCAAACAGTGAGACACAAAAACAGCTCAAAGTAATCACAAGCTTGTCGACTGATTACAGGAGAGCTACAAGAACTAAAATTTCCTAGCCTAGGAGGGTGCTACAGGCCTATGAAGCAAGATGGTGACTTCCCTTGCAAACAATGATGTCTAAAAGGTGACCAAAATCTTTAATTGTTATCTGTCTGCCTAAGTTTCTTTCCTTGTTTTTTGCGTACTTACCATCCATTGGGAGTGCAAAAATCCTTTTCTTGGATCCTGTGACATTGCACTCAGCCAAAACCAGAAGGAAGGATCCAAGAGGGAACCCAACTTCCTGTAGTGAATGTGGTGAAATTTTACTTTGCAAAGGATACCCAATCATGTACAAGGAAAATAAAACAAATGCATTTTTGCTTGCACATGATTGATTGTTAGAAGTCAGTAGAACTTTACCACATTCACCAAGCTCTTGGGAAAATTCACACGCAAAGTGAACAGCCTTTTTGCCATTAGTAAATCAATCAAACTGCAGTCAAAACTATTCAGAGTGTATAACAGAGACAAATAGTAGAGCCCCATAGTTAGGAAGCATGTGGACAGCCACGTAGCGTTGGTAATTGAACTTACTATTCATTGTCGGAATTTAATATAAAGTTAGATTTTAAGATACTTATAGTAGTCATCTATAAACATATATATAATGATTTCCTAATAAATGAAAAGTAATGTGTAGGAGGTTATTTATGGTTGCCCAGAAGCTCTACAACATTAACAAATAGAAGCAAATTAGACTTAGCTTCCATTCAATGCAATTCATTATTTGCAAACATTGCTCTTCAGGGCCACGGTCTTTTGCAGCCTTAAAGAGGAAGATTTAATTAGGAAGAACTTACCGGAACATATGTGACATGATCTCATTTGAACTGATAAATAGGACAGTGAATGGCTGAAAGTCACTACAATGTATTGGATCACATTGGAAGAAAAATAACAGCTCTGCCATTATCTGCTGAGAAAACTTGAGGGAACATAAAATACAATCAGGGACCGGTTTACAGGAGCTTAGGGTTGTTCTGAATCCAACATGCAAATAATAAAATGCAATAATAATAAGATCAACAACACAATCATTGAGAAATTACTTCACACGTCTAATTTTTCATAATTTATAGCAGACATTTTTAACCAGGGTTCCATTGACCCCTTGGGCTTCTCCAGTGGTTTCTAGGGGTTCCTTGAGCTGTGGCAGATTCACTTCCAATTTAATTGGTGCCCACATAGTTCCAGGGATGATGCCACTTGGCAGAGCCAGGGACATGACACCAATGATTTAGCTTTTTGTAAGGATGGCATTCTGGTCACCACTGTAATGGGGGCATTCTTCCCACTGACCTCCAAAGCAAGGGGCATTCTTCCCACTGACCCCCAATGTAAGGGGCATTCTTCCCTCTGACCCCCAATGTATGGAGCATTCTTCCCACTAACTGCCAATGTAAGGAACATTCATCCCAATTACCACCAATCTAGGGAATATTCTTCCCAATGGCCACCAAGGTAACAAGCATTCTTCCCACTGACAACCAGTGTAAGGAACATTCATCACAATGACCACCAATCTAAGGAACATTCTTCCCAATGTCCTCCAAGGTCAGAAGCATTCTTCCCAATGTCCTCCAAGGTAAGAAGCATTCTTCCCAATGACCACTAATGTAAGGAACATTCTTCCCAATGACCACCAACGTAAGGGGCATTCTTCCCAATGACCACCAACGTAAGGGGCATTCTTCCCAATGACCACCAACGTAAGGGGCATTCTTCCCAATGACCACCAACGTAAGGGGCATTCTTCCCAATGACCACCAACTAAGGGGCATTCTTCCCAATGACCACCAACTAAGGGGCATTCTTCCCACTAGCCGCCAATGTATGGAATATTCTTTCCACTGATCACTCGAGAACTGGTTTGATCAGGGGTACCCTGAGACCTGCAAATTATTTCAAGGGTACCTCTAGGACAAAAACGGTTGAGAAAGTTTAATCTATAGTATTAGTTTTTTCATTTGGTAATTTAATAGAGCAATTCTGCTCTTTTTTGAACCTATACTTGGTAAATGGGAATACAATAGCACAAGGAAAGGTTAGGACCTCTGTCAGGTGTAGGGACCCTGCCTGAAGCTGGAGTGTGTATCCATATTTAGTGTTTGTATCTGGGCTGCGCTTTGTTAATGCAATGTATGTTTGTAGGGTTTCTTCAAAATCCAAGGTATTGATTGCTTCTGCATGCTGCTGTTGAGTGTTCTCCAGCAGATAAAGTGAGAAGCCACAATGTATTGGGTTATGAATATTTATCCTGCCTTGGACAATCGCTGAGGGGTTATTTCAGTAATTTGGGTTCAGGAAAAGGATAAATATTTGGAAGTGTCCTTGCATCCCAGGCGGAGTCTGTAAAGGATGTAGCCATGAGGGGTCCTGCCTCCCAGGAGGAGTCTATGAAGGATGTAGCCATGGGGGATTCTTGCCTCCCAAGCTTTGCTTGGTGAGGATATGTGTGTGGAGCAGAGGTAAAAGTGCAATAAGAGTGTGGGAATGCAAAACATTTATTGAAATGCTGCAAGGCTATATATTGGGCTGGGTGTACAGTTGCAAGAAAAAGTATGTGAACCCCTTGGGATTACGTGGAGTTTTGCATGAATTGGGCATAAAATGTGCTCTGAACGTCATCTAAGTCACAACAATAGAAGAACACAGTCTGCTGAACATAATACTACACAAACATTAGATGTTGCCATGGTTTAATTGCACATAACATGTAAACATTCACAGTGCAGGGAGGAAAAAGTATGTGAACCTTTGATTTAATAACTGATTGACCCTCCTTTGGCAGGAATAACCTCAACCAAACGTTTCCTGTAGTTGCAGATCAGACCTGCACAACGATCTGGAGTAATTTTGGACCACTCCTCTTCACAAAAACTGTTTCAGTGTAGCAATATTCTTGGGATATCTGGTGTGAATCGCTCTCTTAAGGTCATGCCACAGCATTTCAATCGGGTTGAGGTCAGGACTCTGACTGGGCCACTCCAGAAGGCGTATTCTGTGCTGTGGCAGCCATTGTTTTGTTGAATGACTTGTATGCTTTGGGTCATTGTCCTGTTGCATCACCCATCCTCTGCGGAGCTTCAGTTGGCGGACAGATGGTCGTACGTTTTCCTGAAAAATGTCTTGATAAACTCTGGAATTCATTTTCCCATCAATGACAACAATCCGTCCAGGCCCTGAGGCAGCAAAGCAGCCCCAAACCATGATGCTCCCTCCGCCATGTTTTACAGTGGGGATGAGGTTTTGATGTTGGTGTGCTGTGCCTTTTTTTTTTCTCCTCACAGTGTTGTGTGTTCTTCCCAAACAACTCAATCTTGGTTTCATCTGTCCACAGTATATTTTGCCAGTAGTGCTGTGGAACATCCAGGTGCTCTTTTGCAAACTTCAAACGTGCTGCAATATTCTTTTTGGACAGCAATGGCTTCCTCCGTGGTGTCCTCCCATGTACTCCATTCTTGTTTAATGTTTTCCTTATTGTAGATGTGTCAACAAAAATGTTAGCATGTGCCAGAGATTTCTGTAGGTCTTTAGCTGACACTCTGGGATTCTTCTTTACCTCATGCAGCATTCTGCGCTGTGCTCTTGCAGTCATTTTTACAGGACGACCATGCCTAGGGAGAGTAGCAACAGTGCTAAACTTTCTCCATTTGTAGACAGTCTGTCTTACCGTGGACACATGAACATCAAGGCTTTTGGAGATACTTTTGTAACCCTTTCCAGCTTCATGCAAGTCAACAATTCTTGATCATAGGTCTTCTGAGAGCTCTTTTCTGCGAGGCATGGTTCACATCAGAGAGTGCTTCTTGAAACCAGTAAACCCAAAACAGGTGTGTGTTTTTTTAAGGGCAGGACAGCTGTCAGCAACACATCCAATATCATCACACTGATTGGAGTCAAGGTTGGCTCACTCCTGGCTCCAATTAGCTCTGGGAGAAGTCATTAAGCTAGGGACTCACATACTTTTTCCTCCCTGCACTGTGAATGTTTACATGTTATGTGCAATTAAACCATGGGAACATCTAATGTTTGTGTAGTATTATGTTCAGCAGACTGTGTTCTTCTATTGTTGTGACTTAGATGACGTTCAGAGCACATTTTATGCCCAATTCATGCAAAACTCCACGTAATCCCAAGGGGTTCACATACTTTTTCTTGCAACTGTAACTATGCGGGCATTGAAGTTGTAGAGTGGATTATAGGACTCTCCAGCTGATTTTGTGGACCTGTACCAAATGAGGTTTCTGGAGAGGGCTGTGGAGCACTGTGGGACAGTGTTAGAGGTTGGAGCACTATGGAGGGCTGGAGGCTCAGTATTGGGCTGGAGGCACTGTGGAGGCTGAGGACTCTTGGGGGGGGGGGGGGGGGACATTGTTGGCCACTATGGGAAGTTGGATGGAGATAGGAGGCATTGTGAGAGGTTAAGGGATCTGCTGCTGACTGGATGTTTGGGTTAGGGTTTGAGAACCACAGGTGTAGAGGAATCTTTTGCCTCCCAGACGTTTGCCTGGGATAAGTAGCTAAAAAGATGAAAGGGTATTGTTTTTTTTAACCTCCTGTCTATCCCTACAAAATCTAAGCTGGCCTGTGGAAGAGGCAAAAGGTACCTAAGGTATCTAAACTGGCCTGCTGCCGAAGCCTGAAAAGCAGGGTTGCCCCTCTGGGCCTAAACAATTTATGGAGATGAAATTTTTGCTGCTGTTTTGGAATATCCTGTACCTGTAATCCTCTGTCTCCAAGATAATGGAGCCAAAAAACTGCAAAGAGGGTGGACAGTACTGAAATCTGTCTGTCTGTTGCTGTCTGTGGATCGGTGTGTTCTTGGGTGCAGCTACAGGGCAGGTCACCATTGGGAAGGCAAGGAGGGCGCAGAGGAAACCGCTATGGGGGGCAGAGGACACTCCTGGGGGGTGTGCAGAGGACAGTGTTATAGAGGTGTGGGGTAGAGGACGCTAGTGTGGGGAGGAGGGGGGGGTGCAGAGGACAGTGCTATAGAGGGGAGGCAGAGGACACTACTGTGGGGGGGGGGTACAGAGGACAGTACTATGAAGGGGGCAGAGGACATTAATGTGGGGGGGTGCAGAGGACAGTGCTATAGAGTAGGGTAGAGGATACTACTGTGGGGGGGGCGTGCAGGGGACAGTGCTATAGAGTGGAGTAGAGGATACTACTGTGGGGGGGGTGCAGAGGACAGTGCTATAGAGTGGGGTAGAGGAGGATACTACTGTGGGGGGGGGGGGATGCAGAGGGTAGTGCTATGAGGGGGGCAGAGGACACTACTGTGCGGGGGGGTGCAGACGACAGTGCTATAGAGTGGGGTAGAGGATACTACTGTGGGGGGGGGGGTGCAGAGGGCAGTGCTATGAAGGGGGCAGGGGACACTACTGTGGGGGGGGGGGGGTGCAGTGGACAGCGCCATGGAGGGGGCAGAGGATACTATTGTGGTGGGGAGATGCAGAGGATAGTGCTGGGGGGGAGGGGACACTGCTATTAAGGGGGGAGAGGACAACACTGTTTTTGTGGGGGAGGGGCAAATAACACTACTGTGGGGGGTGGGGGCAGAGGACATTACCATGTGTGTGTGGGTGGGGGGGGGGGTAAAAGGTCAGAGAACACTACAGGGCAGGGGGGGGGGGGGAGAGTACTTAACTGGAGGGGATGATGTGAAAGGGGGCAGAGGACACCATTGTGGGAGGGGGGGGCAGAGGATACTACTGCGGGGGGAGTGATTTGAAGAGAGGCAGAAGACACTACTGTGACCCACTATGTGTTCTTCATGCTGTCTTTTATTGGGGGGATTTTGCACCCTCCTTCCCCAACAGCCGCACCCCCGGGATATTTTGGGGTATCATTTGGTACCATTAACAATGAATAGTAACCCAAGCACAACACTCATTTTTTCAACTTGTCCATATACCCAGTGAAGTGACTGGCTTCAGGTGATATACATTAAACAAATCCTCCTATCCTCCTAAGTTGTACCTGTCTGTCTGCAGTCTTCTTTTCTCTATATCCATTCAAAGTCCAAAATTTTTAAAGCTTGTCTGAGATGTCAGAAAAAAAGTGGGAGGAGAACTGAAGTTACACTCTTCAGAGCTCAATGAGAGCTGATTCAAGGGAAGGGATACACACCCAGGGGCGGACTGACCATTTAGAAACTCGGGCACTGCCCGAGAGCCCAGGATCAGAAGGGGGGCTCCATGAGATGCCCCTGGTACCTTTTTCATAGGCTTTTTTGAGTTTGGGCAAGGACACAGGGGCCCCATGATCCGCTATTGCCCGGGGGCCCCATGAGTTGTCAGTCCGCTCCTGCACACACCCCTTAAACTCAGCACACAGGAACAGAGCTGAGGCTGCCAATCGCATGCTGGATCTCTCCCTCCTGTCTCCTTTTTTCTCTTGGTGTCAGGAAAACTTGTCAGAAGTGACCCATTCAGATAGCAGAGGAACGAAACAGCAGACAGAAATGACACTTGGCGCTTTTAATTGAGACAAGTACACACTACAGAGGGATATGCATATTTCCTATCTGATGTTTACAACCACTTTAAGCTATATTTTTGTTAATGAATACATAACTGAGTTCCCTGTTTGACTGCATTTTTAGATAATAGACAGACAACAGACAGACAGATGATAGACAGATGATAGACAGATGACAGACGACAGACAGATGATAGACAGACAGATGACAGACGACAGAGAGACAGATGACAGACAGATGACAGACGACAGACAGATGACAGACGGCAGACAGACAGATGATAAACAGATGATA